ATTAATATTATAACTAAACAATATAGCAGTAACCAGTAATCTGTACCTACTTATAGAGGTATCTATATCAACATTTACGGAAAAATAAGTTGTGCCTAAAACTAAATTTGTATTTTATGATCAGCTTAACAATTGTGCTTCTCATATTTTGCGGTCAGTAAACCAATTATTGTGCTTATATTTTGGTTTTACCTTCAGCCATGAAAAATTTGTTTTTGTCCTATATAATTTCATTAATATTGAATCAGCATAATTTATAGGTACATAAACTATTAAACTACGTTAACAACAATTGAAATTAAAACCTTATAATAAATTGATTACTTTATACTAAACAAAAATTTTTTAATAATCTTTGTTTTCGAAAAAAAATTAAAATATTCTTCCACTTTAAAATGTTAATAGCGGATTGGAGCCAAAATTCTATAACCGCATCGGGATTTTTATGAAACTTGAATCTTGATTATAATAAAACGCAATAATTAGTATTACTTTCATCCACAGCATAACTTATTATGATACCTAAGTCATAAGTGATCACAATATTACCACAAAAAAGAACGATGATATTACCACAGAATAGAATGATATTACCTACCTCATTGTACTATGGAGTTAGAGGCTAGAGCTTAGAAGTTTATAATTACAATACCTTATAGATACAATGCCTACTCAATAAATTTAAATTTTAAGTATAAAATATATAATATTCACTTTCCATCGTAATATTTTGGATATTTGGGGATCACCTTTAAGTCTTAATGGTGTTATTGTGATCGGTTGTCATAGTGTCACACAAAAAAATAAAACCGAAAATCAGAATACTGATAATTAAATTAAAAAACAAAAAACTATTACGGCAGCGCCATTGAACGACAAAAATAAACGTCGGTGGAGTTAGCAAAGATACGACACCGATAGATGGCGCTGACATTATTGTTTAAGCGAATCGTCGTAGTAAGTAAACGCACAATGTTTGAACATTGAATTTTATATTTTATTTTCCTGTATATAGGTAATTATTAATTGCCATCCACTAGTCATAGCAATTTATTACCAGTATAGACATAATAATAAAATATTATATCCATAATACAGTAATATACAGAGTGCTAACTCTAGAGTAGGTGATGAGTAAGCACCGAATATTACAGTAACTAAATATATAGGTACAAACTACTAATAATTGGATGAGGTATTTCTAATAAACTATAATGTATTTTATTTATAATAATTTATAACAGACCCGATCGCCTAATAATCTAAGTCAGCGGCTTAGATACTGCAGGCTTAAGGTGTCACTATGTCCTTATTGTCGTACAAGTGCACGAAAAATAGATCAATTTAATAGTAATTAAAGTGTATTAAAATCGATGCAATTTCTGACCATAAGAGTTGAATTCTAAATTTGTATTGTACCAAGAGCTTCGAATGCCTCGATGATAGTCCTATAGGTAGTTCTTATCAGGCTGGTCTTTGATATTTTAGGCTATATCGATTTAATGGATTTATTTTTATCTCTGTCAGCAAGTAGCCTCCGTGGCGCAATGGCTAGCGCGTTCGGCTGTTAACCGAAAGGTTGGTGGTTCGAGCCCACCCGGGGGCGATTACGTTTTTGCGTTTTTTTTAAGTAAATTCTAATATTGTTGGAACATGCGATGTCTCCTATAAGAACCATTATTTTGGTCATAATATTTCAGTCTCGTATACTTCAATAATTATACCGGGGCTTGTGATACGTTATTACCTACTACTTTTAAAATTGTACATGGGCCAATAATCAATATATGGTCAATATAGGTAATGAGTATTGAGATACGATTACAATTTTCAATTTTTTTCATATTTTTTTTGATTAAATATGGTTGGTAAGTGGTAACCTATAGCAATTTACAAAAGTATATTTAAGTATGAGTTATATGTACCTAGAAGGTTAATTCTATAAAATATTATCATATAGGTTAATTAGAGCCTAGACTCTAGAGAGAACCACTTTTATTTGAAAAAAATATAAAACTGACTGCTTGTCCAACATGTTGCCTATAATGAGTAATCAATTATACTGTTTAAATTGTAATAATAGTGTGTAATGTGTTTATTTTAAATTTATTTACCTCGATTTTTATAGATGTTACAGATTGAGCTGCAATCATGTATTACATTAAGTCGACAGATCCTTTTTAAGTATTTAAGGATCCTTAAAATATGTGATAGGTACTCATACAGTCATACTATAAAGTAAAATGTATTATTAATAAGTTATAAGTAATTATTGTTAACTTAATTGTTATAGCTTAAGGGTAATCCAGTAATACCTGCAGGTGATGTGTCAATAAATTATTATATACCACTAGGTCATCGATGAACGATGGTACTAGTGAGTAGTGTACTATAGTGTGTAACTTTGTGTTATAGCATGATAACAGGATGAACACTAATAGTGTTGCACTGTTGCCTATTATTTCTATGAACAATAATATATTTTATCCCCCAATAGTTTGTCTTTGATCAAAAGTATAATATTATAAGCAACAATATTTAAACATATGATATACCTACCACCTACGGGCTACGACCAATTTTTTAAAACAAAATTGAATATTAATTATTAATTATTGTTAATATTTTACGTACAGTTTTACTGCTGGTTTCAGTGTAAATTAGTAATAGTACTTTTACCTGATAAAATAAAAACGCAAAATGTATGCAGATAATAAAGAATGAATAAATATTTATTTTACCGAAAGCATAATAATAATAAATTATGAAGTACAATAGACAGATAAATCTAAACTTAAATCTATAGTGAATACTTTATAATATAGTAGGAAACAAAACATAGGATACCGTTGACAATGTTATTTAAAAATATCAAATCACTCATAGTTACACAATATTAATCGACTTCTTCGACCGTAGGTCCTCGGGGACGGGCTCCAGGAAAACCGTTAGCACCGGGAGGCGCGTTAGTTGCTCCTGGTTGTCCTGCGCCGTGTATCTTCAACATGAGAGCCGAACAGCTTTTTTGGATTTCCTTTAGCTTGAACTCATACTCTTCCTTTTCCGCCAACTGATTGCTATCCAACCACTGGATGACCGCTTCGCATTCCTTTTTCCCGGCGTTCTTCTCAGATTCGGTCAACTTGTCGCCAGCCTCGTCCAACGCCTGCTTAACACCAAACACGTAGCTCTCCAGCTGGTTTTTGGCCGCGATCTTCACTTTTTGTCGTTCGTCCTCTTCTTTGTACCGTTCAGCCTCGCTGAGCATGCGATCGATTTCGGCTTGGGACAGACGGCCCTTGTCGTTTTTGATAACGATGTTCTTGGAGCGCCCAGAGCTGTTGTCCTTGGCAGAAACGTTCAAAATTCCATTGGCGTCCATGTCGAAAGTCACTTCGATCTTGGGCACTCCCCTGGGCGCTGGGGGTATGCCGGTCAGGTCGAACGTACCCAGCAAATTGTTGTCCTTCGTCAGGGCCCTCTCGCCCTCGAATACCTGCACGGTGACTGCCGGTTGGTTGTCCGCGTACGTGGTGAACGTCTGCGTTTGTTTGCACGGAATGGTCGAGTTGCGCTCGATGATTTTCGTCATCACGCCGCCCGCGGTCTCGATGCCGAGCGACAGGGGGGTGACGTCCACGAGCAACACGTCTTGGATCGCAGAACTCGTGTCCCCGCTGAGGATAGCCGCCTGCACCGCTGCGCCGTACGCTACCGCCTCGTCGGGGTTTATGGACAGGTTGAGCGGCTTGCCGCAGAAGAAGTTTTGCAGGAGACTCTGGATCTTCGGGATCCTAGTCGAGCCGCCCACGAGCACCACGTCTTGTATGTCTCCTTTGTCCAACTTGGCGTCAGCCAACGCCTTCTCCACCGGTTGCAGCGTTGACCGGAACAGGTCGGCGCACAGCTCCTCGAAACGGGCCCGAGACACCCGTGTGTAAAAATCGATGCCGTCGACCAGCGCGTCGATCTCCACGGTGGCCTCTGAGCTGGACGACAACGTCCTCTTGGCCCGTTCGACGGCCGTCCTCAGCCGTCGCAGTGCCCTCGGATTGGCGCGCACGTCCTTCTTGGTCTTCCGCTTGAACTCGTCGGCCAGATGTGACACCAGCCGGTTGTCGAAGTCCTCGCCGCCCAAGTGCGTGTCGCCCGCCGTGGACTTGACTTCGAATATTGATCCCTCGTCGATCTGCAGTATCGACACGTCGAACGTGCCACCGCCCAGGTCGAATATCAACACGTTCCGCTCACCCTTCAGGTTCTTGTCCAGACCGTACGCCAGCGCCGCGGCCGTCGGTTCGTTGATTATTCGCATCACGTTCAGCCCGGCTATGGCGCCCGCGTCCTTTGTCGCCTGTCTCTGCGAGTCGTTGAAGTACGCCGGCACCGTGATGACGGCGTCTGTCACGTTACGGCCCAGGTACGCTTCCGCGGTCTCCTTCATCTTGGCCAACACCATTGAACTGATTTCCTCAGGCGCGAACACCTTCCGTTCGCCCTTGAACTCCACTTGAATCTTGGGCTTCCCGCCATCGCTGATCACCTTGAACGGCCAGTGCTTGATGTCCGCCTGCGTCTTGTCGTCGTCGAAACGACGGCCGATCAGACGTTTCGCATCGAACACAGTGTTGACGGGGTTCATCGCCACCTGGTTCTTGGCCGCGTCGCCGATCAGACGTTCGGTGTCGGTGAACGCTACATAACTCGGGGTGGTCCTGTTACCTTGGTCGTTGGCGATGATCTCCACTTTTCCGTGTTGCCAGATACCCACACAAGAATACGTGGTGCCCAGATCGATACCAATCGCCGTCCGTCCGGCCATCTCGTCAACCACAGTCACGACGCACAACAATTATTAATATTAATTTTTCGAAACAAAATTCAAACGTGTTTATGTGTTTAATATATATAGTATATTAAATAGGTAGTACCGCGATTCGATAGTAATAACGATTATATTAAATTACTCGTTGAATTTAAAAAACGCACAGTAAAATAAAATGTTTGTAACACCGAGAGTCGCAATACAATGTAATTTCGTCCGTCACCGCTCACGAATTCGAACTGATGCCGAAGAGCGCGCCGTTTGCGGTTATATAGCTGGACCGAACGTTCGAGAAGGTTCAATACGTTTCGTGAAGGTGCGCTGCTATGACCGCCGCAAAGCGCGCGCCGTCACGCTACAGGCCAGCTACATGACTGCTACCTGTGGCACACTGTTTAGTTTTCATCACTGCTCTATATACCGTATATATACGACCATGTTGTAGACCATTTTCCACGCCTTTCTCGTCGTTTTTACAGCGTTTGTTTGCGTATCAAACTTATCTATATTTGTTTTTATTG